CGTGATACTATCATAGATATATAATAGTACACTTTAGAAGTTTCAAGTATCCACGAATAATATTATTCAATCACAACAAAATAACTAAAATAGTTATTCTAGGTTTTTTAATAGTAATTTCGTCAAAATTTGAATTTAAAATGTCTGTAAAAAATAACTGTGTTCATATATTTTTTAGATTTTTTGGTTACAGTATGAACTATTTACGAGAACCTTTGTGTTGAATTTGCAATGCTCAGCTATAAAAACTGAACATTTTATAATTTATTAATTACAATGATTGATAATTTTCGAGATTTTGATAAATTTTGTCAAAATTTGATCTTTAAATGCTTAAAAAAAAAACTGTCCCTAAACAGTTCAAAATAAATCAAAATATATTAAAAATGTTATCGTGTATAGGAAATGCAAATATAAACAACCAGTGAAAATTTCATGTATATACGTTCATTTGTTTTAGAGTTACACCAATAACCAAAATCGATTTTTTGGAAAACCAATTTTGCGTAAAAATTCCCGTTTTTCCTCAATTTTTATGTTGTTTTTCCCGGCGATTGTGAAAACTACTGGGAAATTTATACTTTTGACCCCCCAAAGTACAAACTAGATTCCCTTTCATATCAGAAAAGCTACTGTTGAAGAAAATCCAAGCACTTTTACTGTCCTAAAACGTGATGACAGACACAAAAAAAATATAAAAATAAAAAAATATAAAAACATACATCATTGTAAAACCAATACATTCATCGCTCCGCTCAGAATCTAAAAGTAGGGTAAGTAGATATCGCTTCTGTAATGGTTGGTGTTAAATTTGAATTCAATGATACAATATCATTGCATAAGAAAAACGATTCTGAGCGAAAAGGATCAGTCAGCCTATGATATTACCAAGTATATTTGAAGATATTATTGTGAATAAAGTAATTTATATATATAACCAATTTACGTGGAACCTGGTTTTAAATTTTCAATCCTAAGCTATAAAAGTTAAACTTTTTATAAATGTTTAGCTACAAAATAATTATTACATTTTAAATTTGATAAATGTTGTCGAAATTCCAACTTTAAATGCTTATAAAAAAAAGTTGTGCCTATGTATTTTCAATATTTTTCAACTGCTATTGTAACAATATATCAGGAGCCTTGCATTAAATTGTCATGCTTTTTTAACAAACAAATAAAATTTAATTGGTATTTATTGAAAAAAAACTAAAAAATTGAAAACAGACAATGACCGTAAACAGCTCAAAAAGTGTCAAAATATTTTCAAAATTGTATGGTTTATAGGAAATGCTAATATAAATATTCAGTGAAATTTTCAAGTATCTACAGTCATTCGTTTTTTAATTACAACAAAATAAGAAAATCGTTACATGAGAAATCGAACGAATATCAAATGTTGTAAAAATATGAATTTCAAAAGATCATAAAAATTTAATTTGACTTTCTTCCACAATTTTTTTTTTTTTGATAAAGGAAGACAAACTTATGAGGAAACTTGTATTACGTTTTAAAATCTTGTGTTTAAAAAGAAAATTTCTTATGAATTTTCGTGATTTTTCCGTATTTTGTCAATATTTGAACTTTAAATGCTTATAATAAAATTATGACTGAATTTTTAAAATCAATATATTCATCGTTCCACTCAGAATCTAAAATAGAGGTTCACGAAATACTTATACTGTTTTGATTGTATATTATTATTATAAGTGAAAAGTGTGTGTAGTTACAATAATGGAGTTTAAATCATTATAAAACTTTTGGCATCTAATTTGTCAAAGGCAACACCGTACAGAATCACATGATATCTAAATAATTAATAAATACATCAGTAGTCGAAAATTGATTAGGTACATTTATACAAATCCACAATTTTCAAAAGATTTTCATAAAATATTCGTGAATAGATTCATTTAAATCCGTAGTATCATAGGCTACTTCTCATTACTTTTTTTTTTATTTTAAACACAAATATACATATAGAATGTGTAAATGTAATGGATTGATGGAAAATCTCTCATCGAAATTATGAAATTGAAAAATAAAAAAAATCTTAAATGTTTTAAGCGTTTTAACCAACAAAACAATCAACTATGGATTTTTAACATTTATTAGTAATGGGCTTGTAATTAATTGTATGTTATTGTGTTATAATATTGGTGGTATTGATTTGGCTGAAACTATTTTTTTGGTGTTATTTAAAAAGAATATTAAACCTGTAAAGTGGTTGACATAATATATGATGTAAAATACAGATAATACAACAAAAATAAATTGTAAATTGTCACGATGTTTTTTTTTTTTTTTATAGAAAAAATTGATATATTTAATAACACATTGAAAAGTATGTATAATTACCAATTAGTGCGTATTAAAAATTTTAATTTATTTTAAATACTTTAACAGTACCGATGCATAGTTAAATAGCTAAAGAGGTATTCAATGACAACCAGAACATGTAGTTGATCGAAAAATAAGAATATGGTGTTAGAATGCTGTAGATCTTGTTGTGCTTTTTTGTATACATCGAATAAATCATATATAATTATAAAAGAATGATTTGGATGAGTGGTCTTTTCAGGCTTAAATTATCGCAGCGATTCAGTAAATGGTGTGCTGGGATCCGCCGTAGCGTCACTTGAACACCAGTGGGTGGTATTCGTACATAAAAAAAACAATGTGTCGGGTGAAAACTTAAGGTTATCGAAGTGGACATAATATAATTTTAATTAACAAGTCCGAATAGTGTCATGGGTTGGGCAGGGTGTATCTTATGTCATTGAACGCAGGGTTTTTTAACGATTATGGATCGATGACATAGAACTTCGTTAAAGCGAAAAAAGACGTGTTATTTTATTTTTAATAGGCAATATTTTTATAACAATTTCAAAATTGTTTAACATGCAGGTGTACCAATAGTAAAATCAACTTTATTTTTGAAAATGGTAACTACTATATTTTACAATAGATTCCGGTAAAGTTTTTTTTCTGAAACCATATAGGTTGCCTATATTGGTAGTTATAGCATGCAAAGTATGAATTCATGAGTTGAAATTCATAACCCTTCATATATTTTAGTTTTGGACATTTACATTTGAAATCGTATACGTTTCCTATCGTAAATTCTTATCATCCTTTATTACAATAGCATTAATTTGGATTCTTTATTAGGTGGCTAAGGACTAAGGTAATACCTAATGGTATTTGAATATTTGATTCTTGTTATAATAATATTACAAATCTGTAATTAACTCGGATTAAAAGTATGCCTAAGTTAGGTACAAACCTATATTGAGATTGACTATTTATTTAAATATCTTACAAATAGTTTATTTTGAATCACGATTATTAAATAATTCTTAACGAATTTCAACTGCTAAATTCATACTTTGCATGCAATACCTACCAATATAGGGATCTCATGGTTCAAATAAATTTCAAGTTATAAAAGTTAGTTATAAGAAAAAGTTATTTAGCTCTTGTAAATTAAACGTATACCAATTATTTCAATTAAAAGTATTTTAATGCATATTTTACTAAACTTTAGAGGACCCTAGTTAGTAAACTAGAAAACCAAAATTGATGATTTGAATATCAACATTTTCAGAAAAAAAATGCTTTACCAGAATCCATTAAAAAGTATAGTGGATACCATTTAAAAAAATAAAGTTGATTTTGCTATTGGTGCACCTAAGTGTTTAAGCATTTTGAAATTGTTATAAAAAAATTGCCTGTTAAAAATGCATGAAGGAACACTTCTTTTTTCGTTTTAAGGGGCCTGCACGCGACCTGTTTTTTTGCTCAAAAACATGCCTTACAGGAAAAACTCTCACGCCTCGTAGATTGGTCCGATTTCCGTAATTTTTTTTTGTTAGATGAAGGAAGACTTCTTACAGGGCGCATTGGACTTGGATTTTCAAAATTATTTTTCTAAGTCTTATGTTACAAGTTTGAATTTAATCAATTTTTACAACTTTTTAGTTTTTGTATTATTTTTTGTTTTTAGCGACGTAATCAAAAATCGAAGTCCAATGCGCCCTGTAAAAAATATTCCTCTATCTAACAAAAAAAAAATTACAAAAATCGGACCAATCCACGAGGGGTGAGAGTTTTTCCTGTAAACTGTGTTTTGACCGATATAATACACCCTATCGACCCCCCCTAAATAGGTATTGGGTAGTAGATTAGTGGAAAAGTCTTATAATTGAGGTGGCAACTAAAATATAAAATTTAATTTTCAAATTTTATAGAATTGCGGAAAATTTGAAAAATCGCGACCTTAACGAAATTCTATCTCATCGATCCATAATCGTTAAAATACCCCGCGTACAATGACATAAGATACACCCAGTGTATATTTGTACTTTATTGATGTGAAAACATCTTATGAGGCGTTCAGACTTTTCCACTTGAGGAGTGAAATTTTTCAACTGCTATTCGAGCGTTACCCTTTTCGCGTAACGCTACCGCAACTGACGCACTGATTGGTGGAGAATCGGAGCGACGCAACGATAGGCCGACTTGTGCTCAGGGGGCGTGGCTTCATTATGATCTCGAAAAACACCAACAATTATTTTGCCACTAACATACTAATTATTATTCGGACGTCAGACTGTACGTCAACCTTGGAGGTAGGCTGAGATCGGAATTCATGCCTAGCGAATTTTCTATGGAGGTAATTTTTTCGGACTTGTGATTACTTCCCAAATTTTTCGAAAAACACCGAAACTTCTTTTGCCTCTAACAGACTAATTTGGACGTCAGACTTCGATGTTATTTTAAATTAAATTTGTTCGTGACTTTTATATAATACTAGCAGACCCGGCGAACTCCGTTTCGCCACCAGATTCGTTTTATGTTTTTTTTCGTTTGGTGATTAAAATATAAAGAAAAAAAATTTTTTTTGTTATATATTTGAAAAGGAAAATATTTATTTCATTTCACAACAGTAATAAATTCATTTCAATTTCCTTACTAAAATGAAGTGTTATTTAATTGTTTCATTGTAGTGCTCTTTGGTAAACCACATTTTTTGTTTTTTGGTTTGACGTTAACACAAACAAAGCGGATGGTTTCCCAACTCGTGAACACGCAACGTATAACTGTCCATGTGAAAAACAATGATTTTCCAAATTTATCCCGCAAACACTAAGCGATTGGCCTTGCGACTTATTAATTGTCATTGCGAACGCAAGGCGAACTGGGAATTGCAATCGTTTGAAGTCAAACGGAAGATCAGTCGGAATCATTGGTATTCGAGGAATACATACATTTTCACCTGCGTACTTTCCGTTAATAATGGTTGCCTCAATTAAATTCGGCATAAGTCTCTTTACCGAAAGTCGAGTACCGTTGCAAAGTCGCGGTGGATTCAAATTACGCAGTATCAAAATAACTGTACCAACTTTCAGTTGCAAGTTATGTGGTGGAAATCCTGGTATCTCCAGAGAGTTCAAAAACTCCGTTGGATAATTTACTACATCATCGGGATTTGTTATTGAATCAACGGATTTGTATGTCACCAAATCGCCAGCAATTTTTGATTGAATGGTGAAATTCAGTGCGTGGACATCATTATTCTTTGCTGCAAGAATTGCTCGTTGACTTAACCAAGCATAATTCTTATAATTCTCACTAATGTTTGGGAAAACATTTTCAATAAGAACTAATTGAGTGTCTACAAATCGGCAAAAGTCGTTGGTAAGAGTAATTAATCCAGATGTCGCATCAACTGGGACTTTTCCATTTCCAAGATCTAACAATTGTTTGGAAAATTGTGCAGCACTTTGATCATTTTGAAGTTGAACTCTCATATTAGTGGTTAGCGATAATGTTTTTACGTTATTCCATAAAGGTGATGCCTTTAGGCAAGCATTCAATTCATCTGCAGGCGTTCCACGGGGAACTACTGGCAACGTCTGCCTGAAATCGCCTGCCAACAATATCATCAAGCCGCCAAAGATGTTGTTATTTCTCCGAAGATCCTTCAGTGTGAAGTTAAGTGCTTCAAGTGATTTCTTATGTGCCATTGTGCACTCATCCCAAACAATGAGCTTGCATTGCATTAACAATTTTCCCATTGCACTGGATCGGGAAATATTGCACGTTGGAGTATCAATTGTGTTTAAATTGAGTGGCAACTTAAGCGCAGAATGTGCAGTACGACCGCCATCTAGAAGAGTCGCCGCAATTCCAGATGATGCTAACGCCAAAGCTATGTCACATCTTGATCGAATAGTGGCCAAAATCAATGAAATGACAAATGTTTTCCCTGTTCCTCCAGGTGCATCCAGGAAGAATAGACCACCAGTATTATTGTCCACCGCTTGCATTAATGTTTTGTATACTTGTTTTTGCTGTTCATTCAGCAACGGAACATTATTTCTAACGAATTCCTGCAATGTATCAACATTGTATTGCAGCTCTCGATTTAATTCTTGGTTGAATGCATCGTGCATCGATCGATTTGGCGCAATCATTCCTACTTCAATCAGTAGCTTGTTTGCAATAGTCAAGCATTGATCCTCAATCAGAATCAATCCTTCATTGTAGATTTCATCGGTTATTTGGATGTCAGGATTATTCGTTTGAATACGCAAGCGATGCAAGATATCTTCACATATGGCGTCTTTGTATTTGTTCCATAACTGAATTGGTTGTGAAGGAAAACATGTGGTGATGATAATTGCGAACAGCGTTCGTATTTGGTACGCATTTGATGAAACAACTGAATCTGCAAGTGTTAAATCCCAATGAGAATCGTTCTCCAGCAAACCCAATAGTTGACATGCTTCTCGATATGTTTGGCATTGGTGGCCATTCACAGTTTTCAAATGCGCAAATGATATCGGTCCACGTACATTTACTAACAGCAGTCGCAAATAAAAACATTCATCGTTTCTAGGATGAACAGTGTACATACGACCTAGTGCATCAGTTGAAAACACCTGTGGCCAGTCTGGAACTGGGGTTCCTTGTTTGCGACGTTGGAATTTCTTTGTTGATTGATTCCAAGTGTAATACTTGGGCATTTCAACGTACATCAGCGTCGCTGCGAATGGATCTGATTCACACATTGCAAAGAAGCTAGTCAATGTTGTCGATGGTGGTCTCTCAGCTCGTTGTGCCGCATTAGCCTCAGTGAAGTAAACTCTTTGGCCATTTTCCAAATGCACTGCTAAATGTACAACTGTGGGATATCTTTCATGAATTTGAAATGACAATAATCGCCACAGTGCTTCATTAGTACTGACGTATCTGCCCATTTGGAAGTTGCTGATTTCGTCATTCACATTTTCCGACGCAATACCAAACACAGCCATGTCGCTGCCTTTTGTGACGTACTTGCACAAATATTTGATTGATTTGGCCGAATGACAACTCTCAACGTTTGCATGTGTTTTGAAAATTCGTGATAGCAGCGGGCAATATGGTACAATGAATTCATTTCCGATCTCAATCTCTTGATTTTGAACTTTAACTTTGATAGTTCGACCGTTATCTTCTTTTGAACGCCGACGATAAACTGGATATCCATCGTTCCCTGTGACTGTTTCAGCAACTAACGGTCGCGGATATCGTTTTGTGCACTTTCCATCAGCCATGCAAGGCGATAATGGATTTAATGCACCGCACGGTCCATGCACCATCTGTGTCGTCACAATGTCGTGTAGACGGGGATCAGTGACTGGATCAGGAATTTCAGCTGATATGATGTCATCCACTTCATTTGAATGTAATTTGTTCAGCAACCAAATTAGGATATGAGCATGCGGTAGTCCACGCTTCTGCCATTCCACCGAGTACATATAACAACGTGTGTCACCAAAAATTCGATACTTAGTAAGCACATCCATCATAACCTTGAGTTTTTGCTGAAATACTCTGGCGATTATGTCATGGCGATCTTGCGGTTTTTGACCTGGTTCCAACTCGCGTTCAATTTCCGTCCACTTCGGATTGCATGTGACCGTAATAAATAAATCCGGAGTTCCATAATTTCGCACGTACGTCATAGCGGCTTGAGCGTATTCGTGCATGTGGCGTGAGCTTCCGATATAAGTTGATGGGAGAACCGTCAGTCGTCCAATATTCTGAACATCACCATCTGAATGAATAGCATCACGCAAGTGTATATAGTCCTCAGATCGTAGCTTTGGCTGATTGAATCTGATGAACGCTAAACGTTCGGTCTCGACTTTGACATACATGTCGACAGCGAATTGCTGGAATAGCCGACCGCACTTCAGAATGACATTCTCCTCATGTGTACGAATCATCATACGATACGCATAGTAATTCATTGCGCTTAGATTTTTATTATTCGTTGATACTCCTGAAAATGCAAAATTAAATGAATTGTTAATGGAAACCAATAAAAGTAATAATGGAAATAATTAGTGTGTGAATATTGTACCTGTAATTGGATCGACCATCTTCAACGTGATGTCGTATCCGTCTTGCCCTTGCCAATAAATGATTGGATATTGTAACGCATCGTACAAACGATGTGTCTCGTTTACACGATGCATGATATTGCTTCTTCGCTGAACGACAATGTCTCGTGATTTAGTTGGATCGCCAACAATAATTGCAGCAACATCATTAACGGTGGGTGCATTGAATCTTCGCACATGTTCACCTGTTGGAGTACAATCCGCTCTTATGACAAATTTGTGCGTATCCGATGGCATTCGTTCCAATGCTGTTTTGAACATATTAACCACAGCATTATTAGCGTGAAAAAATGCTTGCAACTGTTCAATAATTCGTCTCTTTAACTGTTGTGCTCCCTGTATATTGCACCGCACGTTCAGCTGATCCACCATCGACGAAATGAAATATATTTGCAGAAATTGATGCGGTTCATCTGGTGTGGTTGGCACCATTGAACCATGCAAATGATATATTTGACCTTGTATCTGTAATTGCAAATAATCATTAAAATTTGTTCATGAATACATTGTAAATCGTGTGATTGTGTAGTGTGTGGTGTATATGAAGTTGTTATGTGTTGCAATTATGTGTTGGTTATGTGTGTTGTATCTTTTACCTTGCAAGTCTGCATGAAGCCGCCTTCTCGAATGATATTAGCTCCAAAGGAAGTCATGCGAAAGCAGTTATTGTATTCAAGGATGTGTTGAAGAAAATGGCTGGAATCGGGATCACTTCCATCAAACAATGTTTTCAGTGGATGTGGTGGTGTAAGTAATGGATCCAGTTTGACTTTTCCACTTGCGCAGCACAATCCAACCGTTTCTCTTTTGAACTTTAACGCATTGCAATATCGGCATATAGTCGTCATTCGTCCAATATCAAAATTTTCATCATCACTGTAGTTCGCAGTGGGATCATATTGGAATGCCAAGCGATTGTATGATGCCAATGATCTTCGTGTGCTCACGCGATGTCTCAATCGGTCATTTTCTCTTATTATATTTTGTCTTTCTTCTCTTAAAACGACACTTTTCATTACTGCTATAGCAGTAATATTTTTAGTACTGCTATAGCAGTACTGACCTCCGACATCACATTTTCAATTTAAAAATTACTGCTATAGCAGTATTACATTTAAATATTAATATTACGAATTGTGTATCATGTGTTGTGCCAATCAAATGAAAAAAAAACATTAACTGTATATATTGATAAATATTATCGAAATATAAATTATAACTTATCAGCTGAAGAATAAAAATGGAAAATACGTGTACATGTATTATAAATACGTGTATACATAAGCTAAAAATAGAGTGCCCGATGGCCCGATGAGATGTCCGGGGTCAGTAAAATTTCCTTTCTCATAAGAGACCATTGAAAATATCACTGCTATAGCAGTAATGACACTTTTTGGACGGTTTTTATATTACTGCTATAGCAGTAATATTTAAAAACGACCCCTGACATCAACATTTAATATTACTGCTATAGCAGTAATATCGGCAACTGTCCACCAACGTTCCTTGAATATACTTGTTGCTGGCTTGCATGTCTTGTGCGGCGGCCGATGTTCGCACGTCGTTCTCTAGGCATTTTGGACTATGGACAGAGTGTTGAATTTAACTTCAAATGCACGATCCACATAATTTACATAATTTATTTTAGCTTAAATGAAATTAACTGAGCAGAGAATAATGACTATCTGTCAAACACTTTATCACGCACCGTTGCTATTGGTTTGAAGTACATGCTATGTATAATAGATGGCGCTGTATGTGAAAAACGATTTCCCCAATTTTCTGTTGAATTTTTCCTGAATTTTACAGAATTTTCTTTGCTATAAACCTCACGGAGCCCAAGACCTTTCCAACGAATGCAAAACCGTGGAAATCGGTTCGTGCGTTCTCGAGTTATAGCGTCAGGGAGGAAAACCGGACTTATTTTTATATAATAGATATTCGTCATAACAAAACTATATTTTTAAGCTCATATATTATATGTTTTCACATCTTCTGAGGATCGCTTCAGACATACACGTTTTTTTTTAATTTTAATTTTTTTTTAATTCCTTATAATAACATATTTCTGTCTCAAAAAAAGTATTGATACAATTTATCAAAATCGGGAAATTTCAAAATATTTTTGAATTAATATCTACCATTTTTATTTTATTCCAGGTGATAAAGGTTCGTTACCAGTTTTGTTTTTTTGAATATGATCTAACAGTGATGTTTATTATAAACGGAAATGTTAATAATATGTATAAAAACGATCCACAGCTAAAGCACTCATGGTTCTCAAATAATGTACAAAGATGCCTTTAAACTGTGTGCCTGCAAGAAAAATTATTAAATTTTAAATAGTGTCTCCAGAAAATAAATACTTTTTTGATTGTATTAGGTTGACATATTGGTTACAGAAATACAATAATATTAATATTTGGTTGACATCTAATAGAGTATACAACATGTTAAATCTTTGGGCTTCTAATTTGTCAGGGAAAATCCGTACATGAATACATGATAATCTATACCTATTTGTATAGGTAATTAGAATTTAATTTGTACATGATTACTAAGCAAGTATAGTACAAGTACAGCGAAATAAATAAGATACGCTTTGTAGTTTATTAATAAATAAGGAGATTCAATTAAAATGATTCACTGGATGAATGGGTTTAAAGATATTATCCTAACGTGTTACTGACTTATATAAATTAGAATTATATACATATACCGATAACAATTTGAAATTGCCACAATGTTGTTTATTTTTACAGATGTAGGAAAACGGTTCTCAATAACTGCATATAGTATGTATAATATAATATAATGTGTATAAAATAATTGATACTTAGTCAATACTTTATTTGTAACTATGTAGTACACATTACTGTTGTATACTATATATATATTTAATGTCAAACAGAGCATAGTTGATCTTAAAATAATAATATGGAGTTAAAATGATGTTACAGTTTTTGTTCTTTATACTGAATACATATTAATACAAAATAAATACAAAATATAAAATACAAAATACAAAACAAAGACAAAAAAATAATATTAGTAAGTGGTGGAACAGGCTTAGATTAACGACATATTAGGTGTGTACGCCAAGACACCTGACGAAACACATTCCCGAAGGACCACTCGGGGAACGCCCGAGAACTGTTATGATTGTTGCCACCACTAGCGCCGACTATTTGGGTGGGTAGGCAACTATAGGGCCCTCGTCTGAAAGTGTGCAAGGTAGGCAATTCTACGCACGACGACGACGTTCAGGACGGGAGATCCCTACCAAAGGGATTAGGATGGTGCAAGCTAATTATGGGGAGGGGGGTCTCTGTGGTCGATTCGGTCTGGTGCAATGACCACAGAGCTCACAAAAAACGGAACAGTACTTAAAATTATCTTAACCCTATTTGAAGTCTTGTGCTGTGGTTGAGCTGGACCGACGGTGACCTGGACGACCTGGGCGGTCTGTCACACAACGTTCGTTTCTGGCGGACTTACGCGGACCTGGATGTCGCGATGATGACCTGGGCGGCCTCCCATACACCAGGGCGAGTACTGGCGTACTTACGCGACGATCCGTATGTCGGACTGGGCGGAGTTGATGGGCACAGGACACGAATACGCGGCAAAGGCCAACTTCCACACAGACAGTTAATAATAATAGAAAGACTCACACGGTTGCTGTTTGTAATGACGAGGATTTATTTCAATAATATTATGTTCTGTTATGTCGTTTCAATAACGACGTGAGATCCAGTCACAATGACAACACAAGTACTAATAATAATGGTCTGGTTACATGGACCACACAGTACAGGTTTAACAATAATTTATAACCACATTACGTTGTGTGTGTACCAAAAGGGTACTAAACCAAAAGTAACAGACTTATATAAAAAAAGGTAGGCGCTGCAATAGCGGAAAAAGAAACAGAATTAACAATTAATAATAATTTGCGAACGACGAGATCGAGTGTATCATGCACGAACAACACAATGATAACAGTTTCACAAAAAGGGTGTTGGCCGCAACAAATAATGATAATAAGAAAAAAAACACAAAAAATTTAAGATAATACAAATAAACAAAGACAATAAATATGGTGATTCTAATAATCAATAATAATAATAATACACACGGAATATAAGATAGGAAGAAGAGATGAGTGGAACGGAAGATTAGCAATAATTGCTTGGCGCGAACATCAGGGAAGCTATAAAGTTAATGCTGTGTCGGGATTAGTGTTGGTGATGGATTACGAAACTGTCATCTAGATATTATGAATTATGATACATTTAATTTTTATTGGTAGTTGACTTGAGCTGACGGTTTTATTCATGGATTTCGGGAAGATTCTTTGAAAAATAATCGTGATGTAGCATCATGAAGTGAGAATAATCACATAGTTTACAAGCTCAAGTATAGGGAAATTATAATATATTAATTGTAGAAGCAAGAGTGTCATATGGTGGACATTATTTATTTTAGTATTTTTTAAAATTATTTTTGATGACGATTGAAGACTTCCCAGTTGTCAGTGAAAATTATCGGTTAGATTTTACAATTTATTTATATTACAATAACAATTTTTATTTTTATTCCAGAAGTTTTAGGTACGTAATTAAATTTATACTTATTGTAAAAGATTTTTATCTTATTGTGGTATATACTTATAGAAAGATTTCCATTATGAGAAGCATAATGGAAAACTATATTTAAAATTTTTATCTTATTCCAGCTAAAAACCGTACGTAATCAGTTTCATTTTGTAAAATATTTTTTTCTTATAGTGGTATACCTTTATATTCTTCTAATGAAGTTTTGCATTATGATTTATGAGTATCATAAATGAAAATCCATTAAAATGTCAGGGAAGGCCATTAATATTAAAATCAATGTGTTCAAGGGGGTTGGGGGCTACGATATCATGAAATTAAAAATCTGTCGGTTTTTTTCTTAGCCTAATAGAATACATAGGGATATGTTTCTTAAGACAATTAGTTTATAGAAAAAATTATAGGTTTTCATATTGTTCATATGTCTTAGGGCCGATTTCACCAACACAGTTTAATCACGGTTAAAGTTGACCGGAGTTTAATCGGCTGAATTCGGCCGGTTAAATATCTGTTATCAGTCGATTAAGCGTAATCGAAGTTTAATCGTGATTAACTGTGTTGGTGAAATCGGTCCTAAATGTTAATACTGTTTTTATATTTTTACTTGTTGTTCTAAATTATCAAAATCACAAACATATTATGTCCCCAAATACTACAGAGGAATAGAATGACTTTTGGATAATTCCAAAAATATATTTAATTTGTATAATATTATATATTAAATTGTAGATCAAATTCAAGATATACTATTAAAAGACAGTTTGCAGTCTAATGATTGGATTTTGAATAATTAATCTAGGTACTATAATAAATATTTAAGCTGCCTAATATAACTATTATTCAACTCGTGCTGGAATGATTCAATTTTTTATTGAAGGGATTTCCTTACTTAGGTAGTTATAGTTTGGAAATATTCCTTATTACCGGAAACATTTAAGGAGTATATTCCTAAATCCTAGAGTTACATCATTGAGAGTAACCTCATAGTTATTCCTAGCACAAGTAAATGCCATAACAAGAACAGGTTATCTCAGGGGACATATAATATATTAATTGGCGAGACCAGAGTGATATGTCATCATATTTTAATATTTGTTTGGGTTTATTATTAGGTAACTTTATTCTGCCTCAGTAAAAAGTATTAGTTTTATAAAAATAGTGCAATTTAAAAATATTTTAATCAATAACAATTTTTATTTTTTTCCAGATGATAAAATAGGTAAACGTGTAATCAGTTTTATTTTGTAAAAAGTGCTTGTCTTACGCCATATCGTTAATTTAACATCATAGGGTGCTATTCTTACATAAAACAAAAAAAAAAAAACATTGCCTTGTGTAAGATTATGAAAACCGGGTGGACGCAATATCTACTAACTTTAGTATCAATATTGGCAATTAATATTAGTATCAATCCTAGTATAATGGTAAGAAATCAAAATTAAATATGTAAATATATTCAGTCACTAACTAATGTACACGAATTATTAGTTCAGATATTAATAATTAAGAATATTAGTGCATGTGAACTTAATACTACTTATGATCAAGTGCCAACTTAAATGTTGAAATCAAGAATAAATAGGCAACAATAATTGTATTAATATAAAGGTTTAATATTATTAAGGAAGTAAAGCCCGCCCGGTTTTTATTTGAGCACACTTTCGCAGTGAAAGTAAAATAATATTCACTATACCAGGTAAAAGAACATTAAAATTTATTTTCTACTTTTTAATTCACTTATAAGATAATTAAAAACTTTTTTAGTTTTTTTTAAAACTACAATTTATTTAACACTTTTTAGTAAAAAGAAACGAAGACCAGCCAGATGATTTAAAGCTATACGGTAAATATATCCCCCCCCTAGATAATATGGAATTAGGACATGGTATGATAATAGGTTGTGAGATGGTATCGATAATATTGTGTAGCTATATTTACCGTAACGTATTGATAAATGTGCTTCAAGATTTTAAATTATATATCTATCCAGCTTGTATTATTTAAGAGTTTAATAGGACGTGTGCCGCCGTGGAAGAGAATAATAATAATTCTCTAACCATAGATATATATAATTCAAACTCCTTATACCTAACATTATGTTAAGATAATTTTGAAGCCGCGGTCCATTTGCAGTTGGCTCAAAAACGATAGTGGAACAATAATCGATGGTTACCGTTGATATTATAATATATTTACTAAAATGTTAGGAAAACCTTTTCGTCATGCACAACTAGAGGTCATTCTGATTCAGAACATACCAGTTAATCCATGTACATTTAGCCGTTGTCGATAAATCGTGAGAACAAATATCCTACAAACAGACAAGGTACGAAGTAAAACAAAAACCATTAATTAATAGGTAATTAATGAGAAAACCTCAATTTTATTCAGCTCAAGTAAATTACATCAAAATAACAGATTATAACATAAGGCATAATAATATGATATACATACTATGTTTGCCATTGGTTACAGAAAAAAAATTAATATGTAAAAATTTAAAATGTGTGTACCTAGATACATTAAATTTAGATGATATCGTGTTTGTAAACAATAAATCGGTGAATTTATTAGTACGGCCGTTCCCCCGCTCGTTGCCGCACTGGGGCGAGTAATAGCATCCATGTGGAACAAATTAAATTTCCGGGTTTTTATTTTTATTGATTGATTAAGTTTTGTCTTACCGATAAGAATGATGAATATTTTATTAATATTTATGAAGGTAAAATGTTCATTTATTTTGGGGTTGACGCCGTTGTCGATCCAAAATACTATTTTGGGGTGAGTGTTAGGTAATTAAATTAGAGTTGAGGGTGATGAATGACTTTATTATCCTTGATATCAAATCTTTCAGTTATTTAGATTTGAAAATATTTACCAGAAGTTCTTTCAATAATGTACGGTTGTAGTGATTTCAATCACTAGGTTGGATCTTTGGTTTTATTGAGGTAACATCAGCGTAGATGGCTGCTAGTGTTTTATCACGATGTTTAGGTATTGCATTGGTCAAGTATTGTCAAATTTTTGATAGTGGGCTTTTCTGGACGGTTGAGAGGTATCCAGTACATTTTTGTACCAGCCTCGGCAATTTACGGTATGAGGACCCTCGCAGATGCAACGTTCAGGTTTGTAGTCCGACTTTTTATAGTAGTATTTAGTGTTATGATTACCAGCACATTAATTGTTACATCTTGGTGGATTGCCGCCGTTAACGGTAATGTAGAGTGTGGAGAATACAAAAGCATTGCTACCGAAAACTAGGCATATCGGAAAAGGTATTTCAATGGGATCATCAAATTTGACTGTGATGACACTGAACCACGGTTTGTAAGATCGTCGGTGGTTTCTTCTTCCAAGATATCTGTGGTTATACTATGGAGAACAAGTTTCATTGTGCGGTATTTCTGGAGCCTGCGGGTTATAAATATTATGTTCAAATAGAGAAACGAGCTTTGTGAAGGCCCGAAGTCTTCTGATTTTGTTGTTTGGATGATCATCTTTCCACCAGTATGCATTTCAGCTAATAAGCTGTCGGAATTTAAATGTTGGTTTTTGAAGACAAGTGTAGTAGCTGCGTTTCTCCAGTAAATATGATTATTGGTGGAGTTTATTCGTAGCTGATAGATTCAGTGCTGACAGGCTATTTTGGTTCAGAAGAAAAAAGACTAGAATTTGTTTGAGAACTTCAGAAAACGTCATGCCGGAATCAGAGTTATTGAATCAGAATCTGGTGAAGCAAGAAATTAATTTTTTTTTTGTCTGCTCTTTTACTGTAATTTCTAGTGGAGGAGTCGATAATTTTAGATGATTGGTTGTTACCTGTCAGTGGTAAAGAACAAAAATTTTTTACCTAGTTTGTTGATGAAATTCAGAAATAAATATTATTATTTTTGAAAATTTAAAATTTTATTTGTGAGAGATAACTAAAAAAATTTACGTACCGTGGCATAAGTAAGATAAGCTTTGTAGTTTTCATATAAGTGTGAAGATTCTGTAGAATATGTATCCTTAAGTTTTCTGACTTATACGAAGTAGAATGTAGATATACCAAAACCAATTGGAAATATTGAGTTAATGTTGTTTATTTTTACAGACATAGTAGAAAGTTACACAACATTTAGAGGAAGTATGTACAATTACTAGTTAGTGTGAATTAAAAATAAAAATTGACTATAAATACTTTTAGAGTAACTATGTAGTTTCTAGAATATAATATATCCAATGTCAAATATAGCAAGGTTTTACATAAAATAAAAAATATTCTGTTTGAATGCTGTTACAAATGTTGCTCATAATTTTGAATACTTGATAATTAAATAAAAAAAATAAAAAAAATAGATACCCAGGCCCATGCTTAAGCACAGAAACTAGAACTTTTAGTTTTAATGGTTGTGGTTTCGGCCCGGGTACTTAATTAGTTTTAGTATGGGGTTCTGGTTCCGGTTCATGTTTTTTCAAAAATTTAATTTAAGGGTACTGTTTTGGTTCCGGTTCCAGATTATACACCTCTAAAATAAAATAATCATTGTTTATCAAAACACTTCTATTATTCAATAAATTGAGTACAGGCAACTAAGGTAAACACAAAATAATCATTATAAAACAACATTTTTGTTTATTTAAAAATATTTGTATCAGTTTTGGTTTCATCTATTTGAAGAATATTTAAATTATGGTTCGGGTTAGGTTCCGTTTCCCTGCTTATTTTATCGACAGAAGATTTAAGAAAATCTTATAGATTATCCAAATCAATTAAATAGCTTCAAAAGAATAGATTGTTCGAGTGGATATAATATGAGTTACATCCCGACATGTCGCTTATTTTAGCTGAAGGTGAGTAATTCGTGGTGTGTAACCTTCCCGTCAATGAAGTGGCCGTATTACATACCATAAATTGGGTATAGTGATGCCCATGTGCCCACTTTCTCATTACCCTGTGCTCGGACAAAAATACTAAAATATCCTTCGAATTTCTTTATGACATCACCTCAAATAGGCATCGGGTTGGAGCCGAGACGGCCACCTTCAAGTGGAAGGAGGTAGCCGATGTGGATAAACATGTACATTATTATTGTGTAGCCGTAAATCGTACATACCTCTCATAAACCCGGGCCGTAATTTAATCATACTTCTAAAAAACTAGGGACGAAAGTCGTACTTTATTTAGGGATTGGGTGCAATTCTATTTTATCAAATTTCTCTGTTTCAATCAAAATTATTGGTAAGATTTATCGAAATCAGGAAATTCCAAAATATTTTATAACTTTATTTATATCATAATTTTTTTATTTTATTCCAGAAAACCCAGGTACGTAACCAGTTTTACTATTCGTCGCCTCAGAATGAAAAGGTTCTAAATCAATTTTTTTGAAAAATGTTTTTTTTGCATATAATCATTTATAATTTTTTGTTGTATAATTCAATCTTGAAATCGGATCGATCCGTTGATTATTCAATGAGATACAGAGAATGAAAAGGTTCTAACTCATAAAAACGTGAATGATAAGCGCGAAACCGAGAACTATCAGTTACAACCTTTTCATTCTAAACAATAATTAAGAATGAAATAGTTCTAAACGGTTTTAAATGTAATATCTCAGAATGAAAAGGTACCGTTATAATACGGTTATACCACTGGTACAATATAAATTATTATTGTGCCATAATAAAATATTATTCCAGCATTCCAGCATAAACTTACCGCCTATTTTTGTTTTGTGATATTTTCCACATGTATATAGTACCTACTTTAATATTATAATAAATGGTACATTTAAATTTGAATTACATTTGATTGAAAGCAACTAGTATATTTTTAAAATCCCGATAACAGCCGTGGGGGGCAACTGGTCCACACCCTTCCAATATACCCCCTTCCCTACACTAGTTGCGCCAATGGACCATTCAATTGTAACTTATTAATTATAGTAGGTATTACCAGGCACATACACAAAAAAAAATTCCTGGGGGTGGGGGGACCCCCGCCCTCCACATATACTGGTATGTTATATTATAATAATACTTAACTTAAAAACTAAAAATATTGCATAATAAAAAAATGTATTATTTATAACATAGTTTACACTAGAAGTTGGTATCACTGCATAGAAAAAATGATTCAAATCAGAACGAAAAAGTTCTAACTAAATAAATAATTTTTATTTTTAGAATGAAAAAGTTCTACACGTAAAACCTTTTAATTCTAAAACTAATATTTTAGTTTTTTATAATTAACTCAGTCAATAATTGAGGAAAGACAAATTTCAGCTAAAGTTGTGTTCTTTGGAACTTTCTTGATATTGCATACAATTTTCACGATTTAGTAATTATGGTGAAAAAAGTTATTCAATGTCCTACTTAAAAATGTTCCACTGAACAATTACATAAATTGCGTTAGAACCTTTTCATTCTGAGACGACGTATTAAAATATATTTCTTTTTTTCTTTCTTATTGATCTTGAATACGACAACTATGTTCATTAGCTATAGTAGGGATTAAAGTTGGTAGATTGGTACTGTTGGTAAGGTTGTTAATTGTTACGGATGAAACGGTAGGTTAGAAATACGTGTATGCGTGACAAGATTTTTGAAACTTCAAATTCAATCGGAAATCTGTATAAATGGTTCTCAAATAATATACAAAGATACCATTACCCAGTGGCGTAGCCAGGGGGGTGGGTATTTAAACACCCCCCCCCCCATTGATATTTCCCCCTAATAAATATATTGTTTATAGGGTTCGGGACTCCTTGCATGTTTTATTGTAGTGGTAGTAGGTTATTTTAGATAAGTTATAAATTTGTCTTATGACATTTTTTTGTCTTATCAAACGATGTTTGAATTTGCATATTTTTGCATATTGTAGTAAAAGTGTACATTTGAGCGATTTTTCGTATATTTGTGCATACATTGAATTTTTTTAACTTAAATGTAGGTACTTACATACAATTGTCGGGAAAAATCATATTTGGATAACATTGAAAAATATCTTTAAAAATATTATGTTTGGTTAGGAACAATAGGAGCTAATTTTGAGATTTGAGGAAGCCGAAGCCTAAAATCATACTATTATAAAAATGAATAAGCTTAAAAAATGTTTGTAAATGTTTGGGAGGGCTGTTAAAGTTGTTGGTGAAGCTTGGCTACGGTTGGCCCTATTTTCGCATATGGTACGTAAGATTTTATAAGTCTCTTTGTGACAAGACTGTGTTAAAACTATAATTGACATCTAGATTCTAGATTGTACGAAGAAATGGAAATCAGTAGATACTTGTTCGTCTATCACGGGGTTCACATATCACGTTATTCGTTATTACTTATTTATTAATCTAGTATTTTATGTAAGTATTTTTAAAAATCAAGTTTCATTTCACAATAGTTTAAAAATGTCCAATACATACAATAGCTGTGTCCTCCGTCCATCATATTAATCAATTAATCAATATATATTTACCTATCTATATTAAAATTTGTAATTAATATTTAAAATTATTTTTATCATTTTTATATACCTACTTATTTTTTAGTTTTTATTACAAAAATTGTACCTATTATGTTTTATGAATTTTTCAAAAATAATATAAAAATGTAGCTGCATATATTTAAGTATATTTTGAAAATGTTGACTACATATTTCGATAATTTTTAGTAAAACAAGTCAAGTTCCAAACCTAAAATTTATTCCCCCCATTTCATAATTCTGGCTACGCCACTGCCATTACCCAAGGATGTGTGCCTCAAAGACAAATTTTTAAGTTTTAAATTTTAAAGGGGGTCTCCCGAGAACGAATCCTTTTATGATTGTATAAGGTCGGCATTGGTTAAAGAAAATAGTAATATTAATATGTAAACAATGTATGTAGTTGCATTAATTAATGAAAATAAAATCATTGTAAATCCATGTCTTATTTTTAATTAAAATTATATTTGTAAGTTATTACTAAGTACGTACATTGTCATAAGTAAGATACGCTTTGTATTTTTTGAATAAAATAGAATGTAGAATGTAGATATATACGAAAATAAATTGGAAATTGTCACAATGTTGTTTATTTTTACAGATTCCGACGATCAAATTGCAGAATTTATGTACCGTAAGTATAATAAAGTTCCTGTGAATTAAAATTAAAATTGGTTAAAAATATACTAATAGTAACTATAAAGTGTCTAAATAATATAATAGACGTCAAACAGAGCATGGCCAATCGTAAAATAAGAATATAGTGATGGAACGCCGTTACAAATGTTGTTTATATTGAGTTCATGATACAAAATAAATACAAAAATAAAAAATAACTATGATAGGTAAGTACTTGGTGTTGGCCCAGGATTAAGTAATAGACAGATTAAGGTAGTGATCCAGTAACTGCTGTTCTGAGATTAGGAGTAGCGTTAATTGAACATCAGTTGGTTATATTCCTACATGCAAATCAATGCAGAAATTGAAATTGAAATTGAGAGATAATTTCTTTAGTACCTAGTAATATTTAATAACCATTTAAACAGCCTTAGTATA